ACCCACCTGTAAAGGGCTTCTACTTTAAGCTTAAGCCTTAAGCCCTTTGTCACGGTCCCGCCTGGTTTCGGTAACTGTGTTCAGTTCATTCGCGGTGTGCTCGTCTGCTTTTTGATCCAAAAGGGGTTTAGGGCCTAAGCGTGTGTGATTCTAGGATTTTTGACATGTTTAAAGTTGCGGATCACCTGAACCTGGAGTCCACCAACTTTTTGACAAAAACACCGAGTGACTCTGCAGCCCTTAGCATCACTTCCTCAAGCCCTAACGAAACCCTAAACCCTAAACCCTAAACCCTAAACCCTAAACCCTAAACCCTAACCCCTAAGCCAAGGCGATGTGTACATGAACTTCACCGGAAAACGTCTTCCGGCCGCCAGTCTGCATGGAAATCGGGGCAGAGCTACTCTCGAAGTTCCCAGTAATATAGGGGCCTTAATAATAATAATAATAACCATCATCATCATCATAATCATAATATGAATAATTAGGGTTTTGGGGGCCGTTCTACTATACTTATGATAAGGAGACCCCCCAGAAAGTATTGTCAATTATTTAAGCCCGTATTCTAGACGGGGCAAGTTTCGGGATTCCGAAGACGGGTCCCAGTTCCATATGGGTGGTTGTCAAAATTATGGTCCCTTTTTGGGGCCTTATTATAATACGGCACCTATTATTTAGGGGACCCCAAAAGGGACCATAATTTTGACAACTACCCATATGGATAATGTACGCATAGAGGAAGGTGTTTTGATCCTGAAGTATCGCTTTAGGGAACCCCAGTCAGGCCCAAGTATACGCGTGAAGCATTCTAAAACCCTGCAAGCCCTAGACCCTGAGCCTTAAACCCATACCCTAGACCCTTAACCCCTAAACCCCAAACCCTAACCCCCTAAACCCTAAACCCTAAACCCTAAACCCTAAACCCTAAACCCTAAACCCCTAAACTCTAAACCCTAGAACCCTGAACCCTAAACCCTAAACCAAAAACCCCTAAGCCCTAAACCTCTGAACCCTCAACCCTAAACCCTAAACCCTAAAACCCTAAAGCCCGAAACCCTAAACCCTGAATCCTGAATCCAGC